GTGGGAGGCCTCGAGGCAAGGAAGGTGTGGGGGCCTCACGGCCCAGCTTGTTGGAGAGTTGCAGCTCCAAGGTCCTTCTCCCCCTCCAGCCTCCCTGCCCTTCGCTGTCCTGTCGCTGGTGAACGCCCCGTATAAGCGAGGATTTTACTGCGGGGATGACTCCATCCTGTACCCCTACCGTCCAGACACCATCACCCATGGACTCATGGCCGGGGTCACCAACACAGCCACTGTCATCCTTGTGAGGCAGGAGGGTTTCAGAGGGACAGGGAAGGGGGCAGGATGGGGTACAGCCTTACCCTGGGTTCCCGATGGGGGGTGGCCTGGAGGTCTGTGGGGGGCTGGGGGACACAGACTTGCCCTGAGTGGTACTTGTGGGTAATAGGAACCCCCTCTTTTTTTTTGAGATGGAGTTTCGCTCTTGTTGCCCAGGCTGGAGTGCAATGGCAGGGTCTCAGCTCATTGTAACCTCCGCCTCCTGGGTTCAAGTGATTCTCTTGCCTCAGTCTCCCCAGTAGCTGGGACTCCAGGTGTGCGTCATCACACCTGGCTAGTTCTGTATTTTTAGTAGAGATGGGTTTCACCATGTTGGTCCGGCTGGTCTTGAACGCCCGACCTCAGGTGATCTGCCTGCCTCAGCCTCCCAAAGTGCTGGGATGGCAGGCATGAGCCACCGAGCCCGGCTAGGGCCCTTTTAGAGTCCCTAGCTCTGCAGTAGCCTTGGGGAGGCCTGTGGGGAGGACTGAGGCCCAGTGAGGGCCCACGGGCTGACCGGGACCCCGCTGTTCGCTGCAGGTGCCCCACGTGCAGATCTCGGCGGGAGAAGCCTACCTGGTGCACACAAGCCGGCTCTATTCCCACTCCGACTTGAACAACTACGTGGCTGCTGTGTACAAGGTGCTGGGGACCTTCCTGTTTGGGGCAGCCGTCAGCCCGTCTCTGACGGACCTGGCCAAGTACACTATCGGCTGCCTGCACCCCAACTTCCTGGCCGTCTGTGACCCCGAATGGAGCCGGGTCAACTGCTCGGTCTACGTGCAGCTGGAGAGGGTGTGCAGGGGAAACGCTGCTGACGTCACCGAGGCCAGGTGGGTGTGGATGAGCAGCCTTCAGTCTGGGGGGCAGTGGGAGCTGAAGAAGCCCGAGAAGCCAGATGGTGAGGAGCCAGCAGGCAGGTGGTCAGGCAGGAGCGAGGCCTCAGGGCTCCAGGTGCCCTGCAGATAGCAGGAGGCCAGGGGGAGCATGCTCTGTCTGCCCCGAGTGTCAGCCCTGCC